GCCCCCGCCCCGGGGTCCGCGCGGCCGCTCCGGCCTCTGCGCCGTGGCATGTCGGTGGCCGCGGCGAAGGGGACGGGTTGTGTGCGCTCAGCCCCGCGGAGGTCGAGTGACTTGTTACAAAATAGGGGAGAGCTCGTCCTCCAGCAATCGGATGGGAGGGAAGGAGGCGTTCTACATCCTAGTGAAAGTAAGTTCCACCCAGACTTTAAAAAGCAAAACAAAAACTTGGTAAGTTTATCTGGCCTCGCCCCAAGATCCCGAGAGACCAGTTCCTCAAAACCGTTAGAACCCAGCCCATCCGCTGGGCCCCGGGGTTTTCCTACCGATCGCAGCGCTGCTCTTCTCCAAGGGACAGGAAGGAAGGCGTAGAGTCAGCTTGGACGGCATCGGGAAGCATAGGAACTCCCTTGGCACCAGAAAGGGCCTGTTTGCACTCTGGGGCCGTGCCTTCTTATGAAAAGTTATTTGTGCTCTTTGTGAGGCCGGGTTCATTCGGGAAGAAAAGGCCAGCGTCCTAGTTGGAGAGGCTGGGATGTGTCTTTCAAAGGGCGAGTGTGGTTATGATGGGTCCCTGACCAGATGTAGCACTCACTGCAGAAGGGTATCAGAGTGCTAAAATCCCCCTGAATTCCACCGCACTGTCATTGACGCCTTTGAATTACCGCAGTTGGGAAAGTTTTGTCTGTCGTGTCCAGTTGCCCGGGTTTGAAGAGTTTAGAGGTTTGTTGTGGTATACCTTAAAGTTATGTCATCCTGAGTTGATCAGAGAAACGCCTTTCTACTTTTCTGTCATGCTGTGGTTACTGTACACTTTAACGATGATTCTTTTTTGAAAGTGATTATCCTGTTGACTAATTTTACTTCATATATGACAGGGCAGTTTTTTTTCTCCTCTTCTTAAGTCACCAGAAAATTTCCAGTGTTTCTTAAGAGAAAAATTAAATGCACACTTCAAATGCTAAAAGTGGGTTGTCTTTTTTAAAAAAAATACAAGCCGGGTTTGGTGGTGCACATCTGTAACCCCAGAACTCTGGGAGGCTGAGGTAGGAGAATCGCAAATTTGAGTCCATCCTGGGCAGTTTAGCAACTAAGACCCTGGCCTCTCTCTTGCCACCCCCCCGCCCCTGCAAAAAAAAAAAAAATTGATGCCTTATCAAGGTAAAGAAAACAGGTTATTTCCACAAATTAATAGCTACTGGAGAAAAATCATGAATCAGTAATGGAGTTAATGGTAAGCCATTTGTTGGGGTGCTTTACTGTTTCAAGTTCAGTGTTTTGACTTGGTGCCACACACTAGTAATCCTAGCATTCAAGAGGCCGAGGCAGGAGGATTGCAAATTTGAGCCCAGCCTGGGCAATTTAGATCTTGTCTCCAAAAACAGGGTTGAGATATAGCTCAGTAAGAAGGCCCTGTGTTTGTTCCATCCACAGTACCACAAAACAAAAACAAAGTTATAATACAGATATTTGTCATCTGTTTCATATGTGTTAAATTTGTGATTTGGAATGATGTAGTTGTTGGAATTCAGTTCCAGGTATTAGTGCTGGAAAGTGGGACCTACAGTCTACTAATTGCATGGCTTTTGCAGTGCAGGCAGTGGAACCCAGGGCTTTGTGCTTTCTAAGCAACCACTTTACCACTGAGCTACATCCCCAGCCCAGTGCTCCTCTCTTGACATGTAACTGTATTTTATTGTCCTGGCCAGAGGTGTTTAGAAAACACTTAACATATTGAGAAAGGTTAAAAATAACACAGTGATTCATGGACCTGGTGTGGTGGCTCAGGGTTGTAATCCAGCCCTTGCCTTAATCCCAGCACTCAGAAGGCTGAGGCAGGAGGATGGTGGAGAGTTTGAGGCCTACATAGTGAGTTCAAGCCCAGCCTGAATTCCATAATGAGACCCTGCCTCAAATTAAATCAAAACAAAACAACCCCCCCCCCAGTGATTCTTAATGAACTTTAGAGATGGAATTAACCAGTTATTTTCATGCTGTGCTTGTGAGTGTCTGTGAAGTTGTATGTGTTCTAGAAGATAAAGAGGATGGCTGACAAATGATAAACATAGGAATGACAGCAGGCAGTTACTGTGAGTGAGGGCCTGTTTTGAGGTTAGACATTACTGCTCTCATATTGACTATCGCTGTGACTGAGGGCAAGTGAGATCACCCTGCCAGGGGGAAAGAGAATGTAAATAAAAGGCTTTATTTCATTTTGCAAATTTTGTTGGTACATTTTAGATATACATAATGATAACATTCATCATAGGGAATTCGTACCGGTACGTGATATATCTTGCTTCTTTTTTTCCCCATTCCTCTCCCCTCTCTTCAGTCCCTCTTCCTCTCCTTATTTGCAAAAGCTTTGTTTTGATTTTTTTTTTTTAAAAGGCATCTTATGAAGTAGAACCTCAAAAATGTTTTCTTTAAAAGAAAACTGTTACTCTTTTTAAACAACTATTAATTATCTGGTTTATGGCAAGCTAAAATTATATCCCTCTGCAAGCTTATTGAGAGAATAAAGGGGGATGAGTTTTCTAAATGTGTAAAGCAGATTTTCAGTCTTTTTAAATGTGGTTTCAGGAGTGGACTGCCAACCTATTTTATCCAATAGGTGGCTTTTGTTAGAATAGACACTGATTGAAGGATATTTTCCCTCTTAATTTCATTCTGGTGGGTTGAGAGGGGAATCTGGACTACCCAGAGGGAGTCTTTTAATAAAACAAAACAGAATACAAATAGCTATGTACAGTCCATATTGAGACTCTCTGGGGTGTATTGTCTGTCCTCAGCACTGCCATATAGCTTCCAAACTGATGATGTCACAGTGAGTGAAACTGCAGGAAGTCATAATTGTACACACGTTTTTAGAGAAGTATTGAGTCGGTGTTCTAAGCAAATTAAGTTATTATTATATATCTCAGGTAACTTCTGAACTCTCAAAAATGTACCCAGTACAAGCAAGTCAGAGGTGTTCATTGTTGCCTCCGGTTTTGTGGAGAAGGATTAGGGTTCATCTGCTTTGTTTTCAACAGTAAGTGTGGAGCTTGGAGTCTTGCATAGACTCAGATCTTTGGAATTTTGTCGGTGTCTCTTGCTGTCACTGCTTCCTTTTCTTTGCAGTCTCAAGCATATTAAGCAAGTCATGTAGTTCTTTGATGTGTGAGAGACTAAGGAGGGTGTGAAAATTAATTTTCTTTTCTGGTTAGTTGAGGAAGTACTTCAGGTTTGAAGGAGAGGATGGTAATCTATGAAACACAAATATTGCGAAACTTCAGGAAATGGTGTATGCTTGTTGCCTTTTAGATCAACCAGACTGGAAAAATTACTTCCAGTTTATGTTTTCCATTATTGTTGGTGCATCCTATGAGGGAAGGCAGATCATAGTGGAGTCCAGTCCTTTCTGCCTGTTTGATATGTAAGTGTCCTGGGGAATCTTCATTTTCCTTTTTTCTTTATGTTCACAAAAGGTGACTGCGCGAAAAGGTTTAATCTTTTTGTTTTGTGGTGTTTTTTGTTTGTTTGTTTTTGTTTGAGTCAGGGTCTCACTGTGTAGTCCAGACTGGCTTGAAATCACTCTGTAGTCCAGGCTGGCCTCCAATTTGGGGCAGTCCTCTTGCCTCAGCCACCCAAGTGCTGGAATTATAATTGTGTGCTATCACACCCAGAAAGCTTTATCTTGATATAGAATTCTTTTGTCAGTTTATCCTTCTCTGTCTGAGAGTTATGTTCCAGAATACTTATGACTTCTTTTTATTTGCTGTCCTCTCTCCTCCCCTCCTTTTCCCTCCCCTCTTCCCCACTTTCTCTTTTCTTTCTTTCTCTCTTGGTACTAGAGACTAAACCCAGGGCCTCATGTTTGCTAGGCAGGCACTCTTCTAACAACCCACACATCATCCCCAGGCTGTTTTATTTTGAGACAGTCTAAGTTGACCAGCTTGGCCTTGAACTTGTGATCTTGCTGCATTTAGTCTCCTAAATAGCTGAGATTATAGGTGTGCACCACCACATCCTGCCCAGTACATCTTTTAGCCAGAGTCACTGTTGACACTTTACCCCATATTTTTATATATATTTATATATATATGACAGTTTGCTGAGATATAATTCACCTTATTTAGAGCATATACTTCTGTGATTTTTAGTATATTCAAAGTAGTACAGTTAACCACTACAGTCAATTTTAGAATATATTTATTGTTACTCCAAAACCCATACTTCTTAGTATTTTCCATTTTTCTCCTAAATGCTTAATCCCAGCCCTAGGCAACTGCTAGTCTAACTTTCAATCTGTAGATTTACCTGTTAGGGATATTACATATAGAGTTATGTAATACATAGTTTTTTACATACAATGTGTACTTTTTTTTTTTTTTTTTTTAGACAGGGTCTCACTGTATAGTTCAGACTAGCCTTGAGCTCTATAATACATAATTTCTTACTGATTTTCTAGCATAAAGTTTTCAGGGTTCATCCATGTTGTATGTAGCAATGTGTCGTTCCTTTTTATGGCTGGTCTGAATGTATGTACCACTTTTTTTTTAGTGGTACTGGGGATGGAATCCAGGGCCTTCCCACTGAGTTACATTCCTCCCTTCCCTACTTTAACTCTTTAAGATGGGGCCTTGGTAAATTGCTAAATTGCCCAGGTTGGGGTTGAATTTGGGATCCTCATGACTCATTCTGTCTGAGTGCTGGGGTTGCAAGCATGTGCCACCATGCCTGGCTGAATGTACCACATTTTATTTATTTATTTAATTTATTTTTTTTTTGAGACAGGGTCTTGGTTTGTAGTTCAGGCTGGCTTTGAACTCACCGTGGAGCCTAGGCTGGCCTTGAACTCATAGTGGTGGTCCTCCCACTTCAGTCTCCTGAGTAATGGGATTATAGGGGTGTGCCCCCAGGCTCGGTGACCACATTTTATGACCACATTTTATTTATACATTAGTCTGTGGACGTTTATTTTTCTTTTTGATTATTATGAATAATGCTGCTACATATATTTATGTACATTTTTATGGGCATGTTTTTGTTTCTCTTGACTATTACAGTCCCTAGGAATGAAATGTCTGGGTCAAATGGTAACTATGTGTAACCTTTTGAGGGCACAAGTACCTGCTAGGCTGTTTTCTAAAACAGCTGTTCTAATTTACACTGCTACCAGCAGTGTCCATGACCTCACCAATACTTATTATTTTTTATTATAGCTACCCTAGTGTATGTGATAACTTGTGGTTTTGATTTTACATCTGATATCCCTAAGTATCTTATGTAAAAGACATAAAGGCTGTCTCTCCCTCATTTTATAGAGATGAAGTAGCTATAAAATTTTGATGAAGGAGCTGGGGACATGACCCAATTTGATCTCCAGCACAGGGAAAAAAAAATGTTTAATGAGCCAGTTTCAAACTGGGAATCAGTGTGAAGTAAATTTAGTTTTTGCTAGATGTGATGGTTCGCACCTGTAATTCCAGCACTCAGGAGGCTGAGGCAGGAGGATCACCCAGGTTTGAGGCCAGCCTGGGCTACATAATGAGTTCAAGCCCAGCCTGAACTGCATAGTGAAACCCTATCTTAAAAAACCAAAAACTACCCCCTCAAAATCCTTACTTTTTATCTTTGTCTACCAGTTTGGCTGCTGGGCAGATTCTTTCACGTTTATTTTCTAAGGATGTCTGTGATATGAAGCCCAGATTACTAGCTGCAGAGAAACTTAAACCCTGATGGCTTGCTTTAGCCAAGGTTGCTGTGGGAGGGGGAGATTTCTAAAGTCAGGTGGTGTGTTTTCTTTTGTAAGGTACAAGTTGAGAGAAGAGACCAACACTCAGGAAGTAATTACAGAGCCACCCAAAGCAGTGTAAAAACACA